TAAATAAATAAATAAATAAATGAATGAATAAATAAAAGTACTGGATGTGGAACATGTACGTTCTTGATTTCATTTGTAACCCACAAACATCCTGTCTTGTAGTCTGTGGGAGGTTTTAACAAATAAGGAGCTTGTGTTTTTGTTGTTTCGCTTTACTGCATTTTTAGAATTAATTGTGTAGTTTAAAAAAACAAATGAAACAACTTTTTATGGTTTTACATTTGTGACTGATTCGTAAAATAATATATAGTCCTGTATAATAATTCTGAGCTCAGTAACAGATAACTTTACATCATTATTTAATGTTTTGCTAAAACGAACGTGGAAAGCTCTTTTAAAGAGACAAAGTGTACGACACTGGATTCATCATTTTCTATTTGGTGCYTCTACTGTTTGAGAATCTGTCAAAGGAAACAAAAGTCATAATAAAGGATTGCATTCTAAGAAATAAATAAGGAAATAATAAATGACTTATTATTATGGAGGAATAATCTGAACACGTTTTTTCTCAAAATGTAAAAGAAATTTAAAAAGTGTTTGTTGATAGAATGTGTTGGTGCATGAAAAATAATAAAACGAAGTAATAACAGCTAGACTTTGTTCACAAAATGGCGAAAACCTGAAATCATTCTAACATTTTTAGTGTTGTTTTTTTTAGTTTTTTGTCTTGCCTTTCTTTTTTTTTTTTTTTTAAAGAACAAGCATTCAGATCAGCAATAACAAAATCTAACATTTGTGTTCTGGAAAAAAGTGCTTGTAATCCATCCATTTTCCATTTTTTTCAATTTTAGAGTTTTGTTACTCATGACATAAAGGAGCAGGAAGAGAAATGACACATGGGAAGAAGTGATCTGCAGCATGGCGGACTGAGGGGCAGGACCAGCCTGCAGCTTCCACACATGCGGCATGTTGCAGACAACTGAAGTGAGAAATGCATAGGAAAAGCTAAATTAAAATAAATAAATAAATAAAAATAAAAAAAGACATGAAGGGCAAAGTGAATGGAAAAAATGGGGAGGAGACTAAAAAGTGGCCTTGGAGGTGTTTGCTGTGCGGTGAGGTGAGATGCTTGCAGAGGCAGGTGAGAGGCTGAAAGTACAGAAAAGACAGATGCAGTGAGGAGAGAGGAGGAGGGAGGAGTGGACATGTTGTACCGCGTGTCTCCTCTCCAGTCATGACTGAGCAGCAGCCTCACCATGACGGAGCGCCCGTTCCCATGACAACCCAGCCTGTCAGATGGAGGGGATGCAGAGAAACAGGGATGCGGAGATAAAAAAAAAAAAAGCGGCTACTTACGGGGCTTTCACCGCGCCGTTCCTCTGCAAAGGTGCATCTGACATGGCTGCAGCTCCCGCCTCCTTTCTCCTCTTCCTCCTCCTGCACTCCTGTCCCCACCGGTGTCCTTTTTAAGAGACTTGTACCCTCCTCTTCCTGCTCTTCCTCCTCTCCTCCTCCTCTGTCCCCACGTCCTCTCTCCTCCTCCTGTCCTCCTGTCTTCTTGGTGTGTTGGGATGTGTCGGAGCAGCTGCTGCTGCCACTCCTGCATCACTCTGCTCTAGCAGGAGGGAGTGTGTGTGTGTGTGTGTGTGTGTGTGTGTGTGTGTGTGTGTGTGT